TCAGTAAGAATACTCACCTTCGAACATTGAAGTCAAAAGTCGAAAAATTTCAGCTTTAACAAGCTGAATCTAGCAAAAATACTGCGAAAATGCGGCAGGAATCAGCTGATCGAGAGCAATTATCGATCGGTAAGAGCCCAGAGCGGAAGAGTGGGTAGACGGTGCGGCGGCGTGTGTTAGAGCGCAGAGTGCAGAGTAAGAGACGGAGAGGCAATGATGATAATCTCCTGAAAGTTTTCGGCTTCCCATCGACACGCAATCACCGGAACGCTCGCCAGCGTGGTCGTAGGGAACGCCCCACCGTCCGGTGAGCGCTCAACTGTAAGCGCAGTGACAAAATAATATTCAAAACACTGTACAAAAATGCTCACTTTGAAACCAGCCAGCTGAAAGGCAATCACGAATTTTGCTTTCTTCTCTGCATTCAAGGCTCCGCTACAGAGAACCGCTCGTAATGCATCTGAGACGTCACTGCACCAAGGCTCCTCAGATACCTGCAAGAAATAGTCGGAACCCTCAAAATAAAGATAACAATTGGACAAAAGTCAGCACTGTGTTTCTTTATCGAGTTACTCAGCACCTTGTCGTCTATATGCAAACCCCTAACCCACTATGTATGATGGCGAACGACCGCGGGCTTTTCCTTCACTTAGTTGTTCTGCAGTCACGGGTAACGACGAACTGGTGTTTTCCCCATTTTGACTTGCATCTGAGAGCTTATCACAGGGGTATTCGGTGACTTTGGCAGTTTAGCACTGTATATGTGATCGTTATACGATGGCCCTTATAGGTCCAAAACCCACCTTTTCACAGCCCACCTACGCGCATCGTATAAACAAATGAGCAAATAAACAAAATCACCTTGTTATTGCCGGCATACTGCCTCAAAATATGCTCGGCCATGTGAAAATTGCCAACTTCGACGGCAAACGTAAGAGGTTTACACTCTGCTATAATATCTTTCCTCTCCATGATGCGGTGAAATAGGTCCCGGGCCAGTTTACTGTAAATTTTCTGTTCAACATTTGATCAAAACTCAGCCGATAAGAAAATTTCAGAACGAACTTGCGTTTACAGTTGATTGCTGATTTGATCGCTGTTGGCGGTACCTCAGCAGGGAAGGCTTCCATAAGGTAGTGAACAATCTCCTGGAAAGTTAGCGCCAGTAATGAAAAGGCTGTCGAGTTCGTTTGAATCTTACGTACTGATGTACTGTACTGACGGCATAGAAGTTTAGCGGGCAGCTCTCTGAAGCCAGTCAATTGGGTATCCCGTCTGATAGCTGGTTCTGGTTTCTTTACTTATTTCCTTGATCATGATAACCAACGGCTTTGCCAAAGGCTGCCTTCTATCAGGCTATAGAACATACAAATCACTCTGGGAAGGTCGCGGTCGGCCCTTCCTATCCGAAACTGCCAATATTTTCATGGTTGCCTCCTAACCCTCCCTTCTCCCACTCAGTCCCGAATTAGATAGGTCGCCACACTCGATCACCTGCTCATGGCTGAATCAGTACAGCCCTTTGACCGGTCCAGAAGGACAATAAGACATATAATATATAGCAACAAAAAAGCATACAAAATAAATAACAAAATACAACATAACATAATAAAGAATAATATACACAATACAATTATTAATAGAACGCAGAAAAAAAGAAAGAGAAAAGGAAGTGACAAAATAGAGAAAGACAAACAAAGACGAATACAAAGACATAAACAAGGAAATGCCAATAACACACAAACAGAAATCACATTAATACACACCCCCAAACACATCCAAATAAACACAACAAGTACGTGCGGCATTAAGGGATGAAGATAGACATCATTACTAGAGAAATGAAAGGATAATAGTCCACAAAGGCGAGAGGACGAATAAGAAATACAGCGAACGCTGCCACATCCAAAGCCCACTCTCTACATACATAATAAACAATAAACACTATTACACACCATACCACCTCGAACTAAAAACTAGAACCCTCGCCGCTTGCAGTTACGCCTCCTGTTGCCCCCAGATATAGACCTTAAAGGCAATTCCCGCGACCACAGTTCATAGGTAATACAGTTCAAAAATAGAATTGTCGTGTGTTTGTTGACTTATTGAAGAGAAGGAACCACGAAAAAGCGCCCGGAATAAGACCCTCTTATTGCAATTGATCATGATCACTGACGGGCGTAAGGTGGTCAAGATCAGTTGTGAATTGCGAAAGGCGGCGATACACTGATAAGAGAGGCCAGAAAACGACGGGCGAGAGAGCGCAATGGCAGTCTCACAACGACACGGTCACTGGAGGCCGGCATGGGCCTATCGGGCGCAAATGGGCCTAAAACCTGAGCGCCCTGCGTTTTGCTTGCTGTTTTTCAACTTTTAAAAGCAGCATAGCCTCTGACGTTGCCTGCTTGACCATCGTGCACGGTTATGAGAACCTAGCCTTAGTTTATCGCGGAAGCGGCCTTTAAAACAGGGGAGCAGGCATGCGTAGTCGAGGTACACGCTGTGAAAAAGTACAGTAACGCCACTGAGTCGGAATGTAATCCATTTTTCAACCTGAGTCAAAAACTTATGGATTCCAATCTGTGTGCTGTTCCACTAGGAAGGCTTGGGCAACAGTCCGTGCGGAATACGGTAACCTCAATTCGCACAAGAAGTCCTTTGAAGCTACGAAGGGCCTAGTTCCGATCTTTTCTTCCATTTACAGTTGGACTCTTCTTCCATTACAAATGGGATTTTTCTCCCATTCCAAGTTGGATTACCTTTATCAGGTACCATTTAAAGACAGCGGGCATGATCGCTGGGGCGGTTGTCGCCTGTGCCATTGATGAAAAGGCTGAGTGAAGTATGGCAAAACGCCCTCTCGTAGCGCTTCCACCAATGACGCTAGCAAGAATCGCCCGCCCCCAGAAATCGTGCCCATTGCCTTCGAGGCTTTAAGATGGGAAGAAATGACTGTGGAAGAGGACGACGGTCTTTGCCAAACCCAAAAGTAGAGAGCATTGTAAACCAATTTCATTCAGTAAAACAGGCGTCCGCGTTTCGTTGGGTGTAATTTACCCAGCTAGATAGGTGCTACCCTTTCGTAAACCTTTACAAGAATAGAGAATGTTTACCGTGGCTCTGAATGTACTTCACACCCATATGGGAGCCTCAGCAGGATAGCGCCCAAATGTAATTTGCTTACCATATGGCCATTTTCTAGCGCATATATTAAAGGCAAATCTCCTACAGCATCCGGCTGGATACGTAAGGGCTGACTCTGGCATAGGAATTGAACCTGAAATACGAAATACAACGAAATACACTTTTCTGCAGCTAATATGTCCGAAACAGAGTTGGGATTAAAGCAAAACATACACATCTTAAATGACCAGCTGCAGCTGCCAAATGAAGCGGGCTACACATTCGTTTGCCAGGTTTCTGGTCGTGGTCCAAAAGATAGGATTCATCCTCGCCGCACATTTTCCACAACCTCATCAACATATGGGAGTCACCTTAGGAAAAAACGACCACATGAGTTCTGACAATGCGAAAATGAAGAAAAAGATTTGTAATACCAGCGTTGGCGGCTTCACGAAATGCCTGTGGGTAATGGTGAGGTTTAATGAGTCCAGTATCCATCAGTATTTGCACGATCTCCGTATTACCGTGATAGACAGCCAGCGATAGCTGCGACTCCTTAAAATTGAACAGAATTTAAACACAATGACAGGGCTTTCAACTGAACTAGAAAAAAAATGAATTTTAGAAATTCTAACTAAAACTGAATCTTCAAAAAATATAAGAAGGATGAAATTTTGGGAACGATTTGGGGACATTTACCTTTTGGAATGCGCCACACACTCTACCTCCACTCAGCAGGTATTTCGAATGGGATCTAGTTAAAGGATTGGAACGACAACAACTAGCAGGGCCAGCTGCTACACAAATCAGTGTATTAGCCTCAACAATTCTGCAAGTAAGGAAGAACCAATTCGTCGAGGTATTAAGAAGGTAACAATGACAAAGTTTCATTGCTGATTAATTCTTTTCCTGGATGCGCCACGCGTTCCACCTCCACTCGGAAAAAGAATGGCATTTTCGATGCGAAATTATCGACACAATGGCCGACGAGGACAGCAGGCGTACCAGTAGAGGATGAAAGGTACCAATTAATCAGCCCACAGAGTTTGGCTGGGCCGACGGCATGCGACCCCAGAGAGATCTGACTCCCAGACTGCGCCTCTTCTTGTTACTACACCTCCATATTCGAACTGATCTCTCTGGAATTCGTCAACATTACGAGCCCACTCGTATTCTGACCGCACGTCCAAGATCAAGAAAGCCTTCATATTGCGCGATTCGATCGCACGAACGACTTCGTCACTCCGGCAGCACGACTACGCTAAGAGCGCTCCCTTTAGGACAAACCCCGCGATTGTATATTGTGAATAATGGCGTTCAATTACAACCTATTGTTGTAAAATGACTATCCAGGGAAGAAAAAAAAAGCAAAAGATAACCATAGAGACACCCTATGCGAGAACTTGAGCAGCCTCTGGTAGCAAAGCGATATCCTGCTTCCTCTTGCTCACTAATCGTTTCTTTGCGTCATCCAATGCTAATACCATCCAACAGTGAAAAAGAAAAAAAACATGGTTTGAAATTGAATTCGTCACAGAAAATAGCTTTTGAGTTTTGGCGGGCAGAGCAACTGGTCATCTTCGTCACTCCCTGCAAAGCCTCAAAAGTGGGACGTTCTCAGAGCATGAGGACAAGACTACCTGTTCAAGTAAGGAAATCTACGATTTGTTTGAGCGCGGGGACTGTCTTCGAATGACGATTTCAGCTCAATGTTCCAAAACGCGTACTCCGGTCCACACCACATTATCCGTGAGCAATTTAGTGAGGTAGGACTTCCAGTTAAACAAATCCGACTGCCTACCGGAAGTGCCTGAGCCCAGTTTCGAGAAAGTATCAACTCTTACTGTATATGGTCGAAACGGCAGTGAACTGTTTGGTGATGCCATGTCCGATTTTCGATCACGAGCTGCATTCACTGTTGTGCGGGTGAGCAGCGCTTCAGCGCATTTCAGGTCGTCTGCAAAAAATTTTCATTCAAAAATTAGAATCAAAAGGAAATTAGAAACGTCACCATAAAACACTGCCATATCAAAAGGTGACATTCTGGAACAACTCGGTGCGATCAGAGCTCTCAGCCATCGACTGATCATTCCCTGAAATGCAGCGTGGAGCGCTCTCATAAATGTCCTTCCTGGACGTCAGCTACTGTTACTCACATTGTAGTGTTCGCGGATTTGTTGATTAGGGAAACGGTCTTGTTCGGGATAGAGAACCGATTTGATGAACTGAAAAATCTTTTCCAACATATGCACACACAGTCTTCTTCGCTGCGGACGGTGCACCACTTCAGTGGGAGTGGGTTTGGCGCGGCGCCAGTCTGTTCCCAGCAACTGAGGAAACTGGCCGCACTCAACCCAGTCTCTCTGGAATGCATCAGCATCTGCAGTGAACAAGGCTGTACTGACATGAGGAAGGAAACTCATTTGGAAGATAAGCATTCAAAAGAATATGAGTAAAAATAGATAAAAATTGAGAAAGAAATATAAGCCCAGCGAAAGTACTAGAAGAAAATACTCACAAGGGGAGTCCGCCAGCTTACCATGAGAAGCAGATGGAGAATCGTCACTTCTATGGACCTTCCCTATATAAGCACCTCTTTCTCTGATACGTGAATAGGACTGGCACATCACCCCGATTCACATCACTACTGCCCACAAGAGTCATTTCTCATCATCAAACCTTGGAGACTATTTTCGCCATTACTCGATCTGTAGAGCCCTACCTCTATGTAACGTGGGCAGGTCCGTATCACTTTCACCACTCGAGAGTGTGCGGTAAGGACGCGAGAAGTGTTTTCGCCTACAAGGTCATATCCCTATCATGTGTGATATATAAGCCCCACTCATGACAGAGTGAGGTTCAGTTTACGAAGTTTGCGGTTGTTTTCCCTATGTTACGACAATAAAGAAGCTATGCTACCCGACGTGCAGTACAAGCTTCACAACAAGAAGCTTGTGACATACGCCTAATTGGGCCCTCTTGAGCGAAAAAGGATCATGCGCGCGCGACCGCTGTAAGGTGATACGAATGATTTTCGCGGCTTAACTGTTTTCGGTCTGTGCGCTCTCTCCAGTGTCGTTTAATCGTTCCCTCCCCACGCGCTTACAATTAATTCGTCTCCTGCTTCTCAGAGTAGAGTCTTTGGCGCTGTTTAGCGACGGGGGGGGGGGGGGCATTTTGTACTAACATTGCTTCCCTAGTTCCGGTTTACGAATCTCACCATGGTAAAACTTGTGAACGCCTGTGAAGCTGGAGTAATCGTCTAGCCACCATCCTAAAACGTGTCAACTCGAGAAAAGGCTACCTAGATGGGTCGGCACATCTATGAAAAGCCGAATGCCCCCCCCCCGTCGACAAACTGCGCCGAGTCTTTCACTACTAGGTAGTATGTGGTAAGGATGTAAGTGGCTTGCGACTTACACCCAGCCACGCCCTCTTGAGTGGGAGAACACCCACCCATAGCCGCGAACGCATGCTCGCTCAGCGCTCATAATCAACTGCACAGGAGAGAACCTTCTTTATTAGGAGTGTTTTCACAGTTTTTTCTGCATACAATAAGCACATACTTTCCTTTCCAAACCCTCTACCTACAACTTCTAAATACGCAGTGCGCATCGAGAGTAACAACAAACTGACTTCTGCTTTTAACTTGATCCTTCTTAATGATAAGTACCTCAGCGTTTCCGTACGCAGCCGCGAAATGTAGAACATTTGCTCTGGTTGTGGGTGAAGTCGAGTAGCATATACAGTTCTGGAAAATTCTCTTTGACTAGGGTATCAGCGAAAATACACCAGACCTCTTTGCAGTAACACAGCTCTAGACTGGTATCGTGTATACTGCATAAGTCTGGGTTCCTTCAGGCTCTTCTTAATAACAAGACAAGTGCCCGGTCACCTCGATGGATAGGTTGGGAGACCCACATTCAGACGAAGTGGTGGGAAAAATGGCACGGCATTCACACCAATACATAAAGGCATAAGGCACGATAATTTGGTACTTGCTCCAAAATAGTAGCAGGGATCCCCATACATATAGTGCGAAAGTGACGAAAAAGCGAAGTGTGGTCAAAAACCTGCGAAAAAAAACATTTGTTCGGCACGACATTGGACGAGTATTTTTGGACGAGTTTTCCGCTGGCATCGTGCCAACAACCGCTTTAATAGATATCGGTGCACGTATGTATTCATACAGCAACGCTTCATATCGAATGTACTTCTCAAATGAAGCGATAAGAGCACCAGCGTCGATGGGACTGTGCGGACAATTAGAGCAGGCGGGCGCGGTGGGCGTCCTGAACGGTATGTCGAAACTTGCTAGGGCGTTATAAGGGTACCTTATATGGAAAATGCAGCGCCTGCTCTGAGGCAGCAAATTTCGTCCTGTTAGGCGTGGTTGGCCTACACGCCCTGTAGATTTATCGGGCCACTTGCCTTTATGCTGAAATGGCGTGCTGCCTTGACAAGACATTTTGGATCTGAAGCTGAAGAGACGGAAAACGTACCGGATAGCAGGAATTGTCATCAATGATGCGTGTATTCTCGGTAACCAATTTGAAGAATGCTCCAGTGTTTGCTGTGATCCCAGTGAGTAGCAATGGGTTGTTCTTCAAGTCCTCTGCAGCCACAGGGTAGAGGCATTCAAATCGTGCACCACCTTCTTTCTTATGTTTCTCATTACGCTAAACATATCTGGAGTGATACTCATGACACAACACGATTTTAAAGGTAACCCGAAAGTCAGTGGGCAGGCTGTTCGTAAGAAGTGTTCAGTTTTTATCTTTTCCACTGTACTTTTCAGAGCACTGCGAAATAACCAATCGACTGTCTCAGTCCACATTCAGCAAGAAGCGGCTGTGTTTGCGCAGCAGCGCCAGGTCAGTTTTCCATCAACGGGTATGCCTGCTGGTAGTTCCGCCAGCTTCCGAAATGATTTGGTAGAGAACGAGCTGGTGCCCCGCTAAACCCATCCCCCGTCTCAGGATGCTTGTCAACCGCGAAACTTTTCTCCTCTTTCCCTTTTCCTCCCTCCTTTCTTTCTTTTCCTTCCTTCCTTCGCTCTTTGCTCTTCTGCCCTTAGCACTGGCTGGGCCAATAGACACGATGATACCGGCACGCCCCGGCGTCCGCAACGAACAGGGCTGTATGTATGTACATGCCCCGCCTCAATTCGCGAGAGGCCAAAGTACCACATTACCAACATATCTAATAGTAGGAAGCAGTATGTGGTCGGAGATAACCCCCTCCCCCTCAACGCCAGTTTTCTAAGGAGAAACTTTTCACGAAACTGGGAGAAGTGACAGAAAGATGAGGAAACCAAGGAAGAAAGTAGGTAAGATAGGAAAGGGGGATCGTACCAGAGGAGGGCGTTTGTGGGAGGGGGAGGGTGACATAATGCCACTGCCATTTCACACATCACGATACTGTACTCTGCAGCGGAGTTAAGAGTGAAGGGGTGCTCGGAGTGAGTCACTTCAGAGTGGTGGACTCGTGTGAATCTGCGAAGCAGAGGATTTCCAGTTCTCACAGAACGGCCACGTTCAGCTCTTCAGTCAGCTTCGGTCATTCGAATCTGGAGTGAGGTATGGGTTCACTGACCTGGCCATTGGGTACTCGATCCACAGCAAAGTAAGTAATGACGGCGCCAAGTCCCACCACCCTTCGCACAAGATGTTGTCACAGCCTTTTCATGAGTCCCTAGTTTCCATGGAGGGACATTTTACGAAGTCCTGTGGAGTAGATGAACCGTTTTTCTCCAGCTTCATTTCAATAGCGAAAACCACTTTTTGCTTTTTCTTCGCAGAACTCCCCCTCCCCTCCCCCTCAGGGTTGCACGAAAACACTCATCCACCTGGACAATCGTTTCCTCGCGTCTTCCAGTACAAAATGCTGAGCCAAATCAAATAAATGGAAAATTGACATGCAAATTAAACTGTACCATTTGGCATCTTCAATCTGAAATACCTCACACAAATGTTGAAAAGCTCACATGTACATGCCCCTTACGAAGTGTCTCCTCCGCTAATACTTATCAAATTTCTTCGAATTCCTAGAAATTTCTTCACGAAATTCCTCGTCAACTCCGTCGCATAGCTTGTCCAGTTCTCGTTCCACATCGAAAGGTAAGTTTGGTCGAGGATATTCTGAAGAAGTGACATTTTCAGAAAACAGGAACACTACAGGAGAGAGCTGCTGTAAGACCACCATTGCTTCAGGACGATAAAAAAAGCTTTTTCACTGTGAATTGAAGATTCGTGTCCAGTGAGAGCGTGGACGATAAAAAAGCTTTTTAGCTGTGAATGAAGATTCGTGTCAGTGAGAGCGGGTTTGGCGCGCTACCGAATCGCTCTCTATCGGTAAAAAAGAAAAGTAACGGGCTAGCGATGCACCAAACCCTTCCCCTTTGAGATGCTCTATCATCCGACATGGTCCATCTTCCGCATCTGTAGTTGCTCAGGTAATTCGGTGCGAGCCTCGACTACCAAAAGTCTGTTTCGGTTTTCTATGCCAACTTTTTGATCTTTCTTCTTCTCTTTTTTTTCTCCTTCTCCCAACTTTCTAGTGGAAAAGGAGTTTCCTTGTACGGGTGCTTTGGTGGGCAGCCAAAGCTCAGTTGGTGTAAAAAGATCACTATTATTACGAATGGTTGAGGTAGAATGCAGGGTCAAGCATGCCAAGCCTAACTGAAACATCGGGTCGTCCCCTGGAGGCTACCAGAAGTTTCTGAACATTTCTTGAGCAGAAGGACGCAGCGGTAAAGCACTCAGGGTCCTGAAAATACTGCGGTGCCAAGCATCGCATAACCCGCTGACAAACTTCGAGGAAACTTTCTCTTTGAAATTGGGGGGGGGGGGGTTCGAGTACTTGGACGGCACCAAATGAGAAAGAAACCACAGACACGACAGAAGAGATTTTAAGTCATACCATGGGTTGATAGTGCGCTAAGGCAGGTATGCCACATGTTACGATACCATGAGTGGCTATGTTTGAAGTGGCCATCTGTTGACGAAGCATAGATGTAGTAGGCCATACGGGTGCACACATCGTCAAGCGACATCTAGAATAGGTTATGCTTCCTCAATAGCAAGTCATTCATTTGGAAAAGAAGTCCTGAACAGATTCCATCTCTAGTGCCTCTCTACAATTCCCTTTGCCTCTTATCCTTCGTTTTTCAAGATGGATGAAAACAATTTCTAAATTACTTTACTGTAATACAGTCGACGTACCAACTTTAGGTCTTCAACTGTAGCCTCGACGTCAACATCAAAAGCAGCCTGAAAAGGACTAGAAATGGTCATTGTAAGGGGTGATAGAGTGCTGTGCTACATGTAATGGGCCAAGATGTTACTGATAGCTGGCAACTAGTTCCCCACGGGACTGAATGAAAGTACATTCTGCGCTTACAAATCGTGGGTAGTAGGTTACACTATGAATGTGAAGGCTTCACATTACTCGACAACCCATAAAAAAGCAGAAGAAACGTCGAAACGCTCCATATAAGACCCTTTGTGGCTTCAAGCATTACATCAGCACACGGAGAAAAGGCAGTGAACCTTTTATGAATGGGTCTCATCTGCAATCGGCTTGCCACTTTCTTTCTCCGCGTCAAAAGTGTATGGGAACAGGGCTGGAGGGCAGTCACTTCCTGGTGCCATATACACACTACGTACCCAGTAACACGCCTGAACATAGCCAAACGTGCGACTCTTTGCGCCCTTTCACTTCTCATTGTTCACTACCGCTGAGTACTGTTTTTTTTTTTTTTTTTTTTTTTTTTTTTGCTACAGGACTTCGTACTTTTATTAGATGTTCTCTAGGAACATTTCAAGCCAAACATGGAACATAAGAACCAACACGAACAAAAAGAGACACGAAATTAGTCTGACAGGAAGTTCCGTGAAACAAGTAAAAGTCGCTGCATCAAAATAAAGAGAACGATGGCAGTGCTATAAAACAGATAAAACTTTGAAAGACAAAAAATCAACACAAAAAATACAAGATAACAGTGCAAAAACGGTGAGAGGAAAAAGTGAAAGACACTTAGCTGCGCGAGACTTCTTGTACAAAACTGGAGCTTTAGAGGAGAACAAATGTTCTTGCTGACTCAACATACTCAGAACCAACATGCTGACAAGGGAAGGATGGTTGGTCGAAGTGACCATTTGATATAATATGTAAACCGGCTGAAAGGTCTTCGGACGCGGATTACGAAACCGTCTCCCACATCTGCTGCGGACCTGCCAGAAAGAAGTTACGCTTTTTAGGGAGAGAATATTCGCATTCAGTACGAACTGGCGGCGTAAGGCTGATGAGATCGTGGCAGCATGGCCGTGTGGGCACGCTACAGGGCTCACGAATGCGTGGTCGAGGGTTTGGAT